ATTAGGGAGCTACTGAAAAAATATACAGTGACACCGGAAAGGATGACGACGTCTTGGATGAGCCTCAACATCGAGCCAACGAGAAAGAAATGCTTGTGATTCAAGAGGCGCCGTAGAGAGAGACTCCAACTGGATTAGTCGTGCTGTTCTATAAGATGGTGAGTCTCAAGGAATGGGCTTTCATGCAGAGTATGAGATTGTGGTGCCTCAAGTTACCTTTTTGCAGACATTGAGAGAACCATCAACAGGACTGATATTGAATGCCGAAAAGGCCCATGAGTTTGAAGAGCCGATATTAAACACAGAACAACCTCAAATAAGAGATTGTGAGGATTCTCAGATACATAGCTTACCTCATGAGTTGCCCCTACTAAGGGAGGTTCAACATATGAGAGATGAGGAGCTTTTAAGCTACTTCTGGAAGACCATGTGGAGTCATTTGAGTATTAAATTTAGTTTAGCATTGTACTCACTACCAGATGGTCAAACAGGAGGGATACGCATAGCATTGAAAAGCGCCTTAAAAGCTTTGAAGGAAAGAATATTCTTCAATGAGATTCTGATCGTACTAAAAAAGAAATTGTGGTTTTTCATAAGTGGTTGCTCATGAGAGCGCCTCAGTTTGCTACATATTTCATCCCAGAGTGGATTCCTTCAAACAAACTTATTTATTAGATACGTCCAGTGGAATTTGAGAAGTGGGAGAAGCAATTTATAGATGTCATCGCTCGAGACCTGATTCATGAGAATTCTCTTTTATCTACAGTTTCGGCTCAAATTGTGTCAAAAGAGAATAAATATTTATTATATCAAGATGTACTTTGGAATGACAATGATTACGAAATTATACATGAAGAGTTTGACATTTATGTTATCTTTAGTTGGTTTGACCTGAAATCATACTACGAGAAGATAGAAGTTTCGACGGATGAGGTCGAAGCTCCCCCAATTATGGGAGAGTGAAGCGGGTGCGTTCTATGCAGAGAAGCCTTCTGCTATCCCGCGTATAGGGAGCAGATGCGAAAACCTCCCACGACCATGCATGCTTAAGTTTTTCGCACCTAAACTGAATTGATTTAGGTTTTGTCGATATTATGGAGTCGGCTGATCCTCCCAGGCCACTCCTTGCTATCCTATTATTATATATTTGTGTTTCTGATGTTTATTAGTTTTTCGTGTGTTTTGTATCTAGATAGTCGCCGAAGTTTCTTCTTTCCTTCGAGGGTCATCTCCTAGGATTTTAGGTAGTGCTTTGGCTATATCTAGGCCTCTAAATGGTGTTCATCCTTCCACCAACCTTCCGCACCTTTCCCACATCGATTCTCGTCGCTCATTCCCTGCAACCTCCACCATCGGAACTTCTATTTTTACTATTGTTTCCTCCAGTTCGACATTTCCAGCCACCTCCTTCCCTTTCTAGGCTTGCTGCCGCCCACCATAGCTGACAATTAGGATTCCCTAACCTTCCCGCATTGCTTCCCGCTTACATTCTTCGTCGTCGCCGCCGCCGTCCGAAACCGTTGTAAATCCAAGTGTTTTTGCAGTATTGAACCTTCTCAGCCACCGTTTCCTCTTCCAGACGTGCCACCGCCCCCGACAAGTAACTCTACTGCTGTCTTCTCTCATTCCAGCTCCTTAGGCCAGTCGATTCTTGCTACTTTCTGTCTGTTACAACATCTCCCTTCTTTTCGCTGTCTAGGACAGCAAGCTGACACTGCCTTGCCACTGTTTCCCCACAGCTTTGCACCTTCCCAATCTTGTCTCCACTTTTCCAAGCCTCTAAAGGCCACCATTACCACTTAATATCCACCCTAGCAGTGTTTCGTGCGTCTTGTTGTTGTTATTTTCTATTTTTTGTGTGTTGTGTTGTATTTATTGCTATTTCTATTTCCGTTTGTGTACTTATGATTCCCTATTTGAATTCAACAATAATATTTGATTTTCCTATTATTGATTGTGTTAACTCTGATATTAAGTACACAACTGAGTTTGTTCAACTCGTCTGAAATGTGAGTTGGCACAACCAAATGAGCATAAGTGGTGAGATATTTTGAAAAACTAAAGCCAGCCGTCAACAATCTGGTGTAGCTGCAACTATATTTGTCCTTACTCGATTTACAGACCCTTTTGAAGGTGGAGAAACAATATCACCGGGTGATCGCTACACCTAACATGCATATTTCATCCCCAGGACCAGACAATAAGAGTACACTTAGTGGAAAATCCCAACCAATCCTGCTCGAGAAAAAAAATTGTTTAGAGTGGAGAAAAAGTAGAGCTAGCTAGCACTCCCAAGTTTGTCCTAGCCAAGAAGTGTTTCAAGTGACATATTTTTGGTCACATTGTATCTGATTGCCCAAACTTGAGATAGGTCACTTTCTTTGAGTAGGGAGCAGTTAAAAGAATGAACAATGACATGAGAGAAAAATGATATTATAGATGAGTACAACTTTCAGCCGACGAGGGAGAGATATTAGTGATTTGATGGCTCCTTCAGATTGAGCCTGTGAGAGAAACACCCCCATGATTAGCATTGGTTGTTCTAGATGACAGTGAGTCCAAGGAGCTGATGCCATACATATGACAACCCCAACTAAGTGGATTTTAGGATTATCTAACCTACAACTTGCCTCCTAGGTTGCCACTTTAGATAGAAATGAGAAAATTTTAATGATTTTTGGAAGACTCTTTGGATTAAACCAAATACTAAATTGCAGTCCAATTCAAACTATTTCATCCCAAGCAAATGGCCAAATAGAAGTCGTGAGATACTATTTTGGAAATCTTAGTAGGTAGTTTTTGGATAAGAACATCCGACGGTGGGATCAAGTTCCTTCCAAATTATAAGTTTCTCCTAGCCCGGTAGAATGTCATAGAGCATTAGTTTTGCTTTTTGTGAAATCGTGGAATCACATGTTTTCATGGGATTGTGAGAATTCGTGATCTTGGCAGAGGAACAAGCGCTAATTTTTGAATTTTTTTTCTTTTTTTTTCCTTTTCTATTTTTTTTATTTCCTTATTTCTAATTAGTTTATTTTCTATTAATAAACTATTTATATGTTTTTTTCTTTTTTTTAGAGATTTTATTTTATTTTGAGTATTATGGAGATTGTAAACTCTGATTACTTATTTTAGGAGTGTTGTATCCTCTTTCCTTTTGCAAGTGGTGTGTCATTTCTTGCTCATAAAGTTTTGGTAATCCTCCTCGCTACTCGTATCATGTAACGCAAATTAGCTGCATAACAATAAATTCTGTCGCTTAGCCTCTAATACTAAAGTTAACCCAAACCATAATCGAAACAAAAATATTGTTGCTGCTATTCAAATAGGTTACAACGATAAATCTTAAAAACATATAATATACGATAATAACATAAAAAGACACCCTAGGGCGACAGTGAGATGGCCGGTTAACAAGTGTGAGGGGGCTGGGATGGTTAAAGGACAAGTTAAAAGGGTGTTGTTAGGATTGCGGCTAGGACGACAAGAGGAAGAGGGGGTTGCGGTAGCAGCTGTGGAAGGATTGGGGGTGTGGCGATATTGATGGAGGTTATAGGATGGGCTCAAGGTAGTTACATGAGGGTGTTAGGGGTGGTTTACAGTAGCTGCAGGGATGTGGCAAAGGGTTGGTTGCTGTTCAGGATGATTGGATATGTTTGCGACATCCAAGAGAGTTCCGGGGAGGGATTGGCGGCCGGGAAACAAGGGAAGAATTTGCGATAGCAATAAGGGTGGAGAGGCCTGATAGCGGGGATGTAGGGTGAAGAAAGTGCAGGGAAGATGACAACAAAGCGAAAAAGGGGAAGATACACACCACCTCAGGACGAGTTACAGCTGGAGCACCTTCTCGCCTTCAGATACAACCTTAGAAAAGAAATGAAGGCACTGACAACTGTACAAAACAGAGAACTCGGCAAGAAACTAAACCCTAAAACAATAAGCAACGTATTTATAATAAGATAGGTAGAAGGAGGGGGAAAAAGGGCGTGGTTCCCACCCAATAGCTAGCTGATCGCTCCAGCCTCTTTGTCGGACCGGATCCCTTCTGAACTGGCCGGGTCAGCATTTCAGCATAAAAGTCTGCATTGGCCTCGCTCCAAATGCCTTAGACCTCACTTCAATATGATATATAACATTTATGCACTAGTGATAAGCAATTCAATACATGTTAATATTGTGTTGTTAACCCTCTATATCTCTTCTCTTAGAAAGGATGACTAATGACGTGGTCTTGTACTTTATTGAAAAAACAAATCTGTCATTTGATAAAATCTAATGCTTAGAGTTTTTTATAATTAAATTTTTACCGTGCACTTTATTTTGTCAACATTTTCAAACATTTTTAGTTCTTATTATGACATTTGGTTTTCTTATACATTTTATATGCTTTTTCTGCTTCCTTAAATTTTGTAACTTATTGTGTGATTCAATTGTCACTGATTGGTTTATGCAAAATATATTCTATGAACTGAAAAAAAAATTATCTTTTATTTTTAAAAGGGTTTTTTTGAGATGGCAGCAATTTTTTATAAAGGTGCTTGTAAAGCTCTGGTGGGAAATCTACTTTTTTTAAAAGCTGTTCTGGGTATTATAAATACTTTTTTCAAAAAATTTACTCAAAATTCTTATAGCCTTTACATTTTAGCAGCTCTGGTTGTAAAAATAGTTCCTCATCAAAGAATTTTTATAAACCGGCTAGAACATGGTGGCATAATGGAGGTGTGGAGTGGTGGTGGTCTGAAAAGATAGCAGTGAGATAAGCTGCCCAAAACGACCCTATTTTATGATAAGATATCTTCTAATATGTTGTTCTGAATAAATTCATGTAATTAATTTCCTTTAGCCCTTTATTTTTTATTTTTTATTTCGTAACTTTGATATTATAATATTTTTATACTACGCAATTCTGGTGTTTTGTTTGATTAGATTCACTTTAATTGTTCTGTTAGTTGTAGTTACTTGCCCTCTTAGGGCTAGGAGATTTATGTTTTATCTTACAGGCTTTACAGGTAAAAAGAGATCCTTTCTGTAAAATGTCAAAGCTGCCTGATGAGTGTCCTGTTGAACTTGATAATGATCACTTAAGTTCTGTTAACTGCCTTCGAGAGTTTTGGTACAAGTCACTGAATGCTTTGTTCATTGATGGTCAGGTACGGTGTGTTTAATCATCAATTAAAATTTGATATTTCTTTTTCCCCTTCTGAAAGGGACATACCAATGCAGTCTTCTCTCTCTACTGGTATTTTCCTATTTTCAATTTTTTTTCCATCTTTGGACAGAAATCTAGTTAGTTTTTATAAATTTAAAATTCTACATAAAAAGTCCTTTTTTGTAGTTTCTAATTTTAGTATAAGGTTTTATCGTTTTTAATTTTTTTGGTATTTTTATGATCCATATTCCTTGATGGTGCTTAACAACTGTTTATTGAGCGGGGTTTAGAGTCTGCTGGATGATTTGGAGTTGCATTTTCAAAATTGAACCTCACGTAAAAATATTGATTACATCTACGCAGTAAATTTGTAAGTGAATGGAATTGAGCGTAGTAGGAGCTTGTTTAAATTTGAACGACAATTAGAGCTTATGTGATCATAAGCTAGGTTTGTTTCAAAATATGTTAGTTCTCATTTGGTTTGAGCTCGGCTTGAGTTTTGTTCATATTGTGATTGTCATGTTTTAAATGATCAACTTGTTTGAAAAAGTAGCTGAACATTATCTAGCCAATTAATTATTATCGAGCTATTTATTAGCCAGCGAAATTCTTTTTATTGAGCTTCAATTTGTTATCTACATGAATAAATTTTATGAATAAATTTTAATAATAATAAAACCCTTCATTTTTACCGTCGCATTAAATTGAATTATGAATAAATTTTAATAATTCAAATTCAGCTTGATGCCTTACAACTTTGATTTGCTCAACTCAAATGGAGTCACCATGGCATATACCAGTGCCAATGAGCTTTAATAAAAACTGGTAAAATAGAATATGGTGAAAGAGCTAATATGCTCAATCTATAATTTATAAAAGGTTTGTAGGCTAAAATTTAAAATTACTATTTTACCAAACTTTTATAATGAGAACAAGCTGAACTGCTAGCGTAGATGAATGATCATTTTTCTTGTGTTTATGAAGTTAGTCTTCTTTTGAAGATGTGTAAAAGTGGCACTACCTGCACTTTTTTTAATGATCATGCTATCACAGATGAACCCAATATCGTCATCATATGATATTTCCTGTGAACTACGTTTAAATGTCTAAGTGCTCATTTTTGCATGCCCCACCACTTACTCTTGTTCCGAATTGTTTGAACTGTTTTTTTGTGATATATGAATCAGAATTTAGGCTAGAAGATGCGGATGAAGAAAGCTATTTAGGTATTTGAAAGACTTCACGCCATGAAGCTAATTTTTTTTTCCAATGAACCTTTTGGTTCGTTCCTTGTCATTGTTGTGCTATTTCGTCTTTTCATTATGCTAGAGAAATAATGTTTTTCTTTAGAATTATGAAAAGCCAGCTAAATAGTTATTTTCTGGTAATATGCTGTGTATTGTGCTTCCCTTTTTTAAGTTTTTTCTTTATCAAAGTTATATCATTTGGATTTCTCATGTGATTGAGGGAATGCTATTATTTTCTGTTCACTGAGGAATGATGTTTTCGCAGGAGCGTATCTCAAAATCCATCTTATTTGTTCTTTCCTTGCAATCCCATGCATGTCGACCTTCTCTTATCATCACAACATCAGGTTCTCTTCAACTATGGCAAGCCGGTTTTCTCCAGTTGGCTCCATCTGTGAATGTACTTATATACCGCGGTGATAAAGATGTTAGAAGGATGCTTCAGAGTCTCGAATTTTATGACGAATGTGGTCGTCTAATGTTTCAAGTGCTTTTGGCAGATCCTAAGGCGATTACTGAAGTACGATTTTCACTAGTTTTTTTTTGTGCCTATGTTCTTTTATTTTAATGAATAGTATTTTTTTCCACTTGATTTCATGCATGTGTATGCCTTTTTTCTGTGCACATTTGTCCTCTGTTTGTTTGCTTTTATGTAGGATCCATCGGGCTTGCATGTCTAGGTGCATATATACATCTCTGCCTTTTTTTAACTGCGTGGTAGCACTTGCAATTCATCATTTGAATTTATGGGTTTATTGTTTATAAATCTTTTATTTTGTTTAACTTTATTGGATTTTTCTCCTGGCAGTGTTTTTTTTACTCTTGTTGAATATTGTACAGGACTTGGTTAATATTGCTTGTATTGGCTGGGAATCAATAATAGTCGATGAATGCCAGAATTCAACGATTATGAGTTACCTTGAACAGCTAATTACTCTACACACAGATTTTAAATTAGTACTTTTTAATGGTGAACTGAAGGTAATAAATTACTTTTGTTTCTTTTTTGATTGTTGTAATTTACTTATGTTTATTTATTTATTGAACATGTCAGGATAGCCTTTCAGAACACCGTTTACTGCTCTCCTTCCTCGATTCTGAAGGAACGATGGATGATGGTTTGGTTGGTCTGAAGGCCAATAGTAATGATTCTCCTTTCGCACTTACTAAGTTGAAAAAGAAATTGGCACGCCATATTGTTTTTGAGTCTAAAACAGACTCACCGAAGTTCTTAGAGTACTGGGTCCCAGTTCCACTCTCCAGTGTTCAATTGGAGCAATATTGTTCTACACTTGTTTCAAATGCAACTGTTCTTCGGTCAAATTTAAAATCTGATGTTGTCGAAGCTCTTCATTGTATCCTCATTACTGCTAGGAAGGTAGGTCTTTAATTCGCTCTTCTGCTTTGCTTGTGACGACTCACATAGTGTTAGAGTGAGCTCAGACTCAACTCGTGTTTGACTAGTTAAAAAATATCACTGTTCGTGTTCAGCTCGTTTATATTTCAAACACAAAGTGTGTTTGTGTTCAGCTCATTTGCTTAGCGAGCTATCGAGCTCAAAAAGTGTGTTTGTGTTCAGCTCGTTTTCTTAGCGAGCTGAACACGAGCCGTTCACGAACAAAGAGTCATTTTGACAACCCTAATCACGTAGCCATAAGATGTTAATGATTGGGGCAAAATTTAAAACATCATTTGAATTTAATTTAATAATTTTTATTCTATTTTATTCATTAATACTTTTAATTGATTATAAATCTTTGTAGCCTTGTAGTCAATTAAATTTTTAAAAAATACTACTCATCAAAGTTATATATATAATTGATTAGTAGTATTTCGAGCCAAAACGAGTCGAACACGAACGAACAAATATTGGTTCGTTTTGTTCGTGTTCGGCTCGTTAACTTAGCGAACGAGCTGAACAAAAGCTTCTTAACGAGCCGTTCGCGAACAACGGGCCGTTTTGACAGCCCTATTTACATTGTTGATAACAATCATTGTTTCATTACCTAAGATTATCGTGCTTTATACGGGCCATTATAATTTTATTTGTCCTTAAAATTATTAATTGTCGTTTTTCATTTATAACTAGTATGGTATTTTCTTCATTTAGTTTTTTTTGGCCAGTTGGAATAATACGAACTATTATTAATAGTGCTTATGGTCATGTAATTCATATGGCGATGAAGGAAATATTTTATGCTCTTGCTCTATAAAATTTTGGCATTTTGTGGATTCATAAGATTTTTTTTCACCTTCTTTCTTCTAGGATATGTTTTTTCTTCATTCTTCAAGGATTCAACTTCTTTCATTGAAAGATTTAATAACCATGTGTCGTGACATTTCAACATCATAAAGGTTAAGAATCTATATCTTACTTTCCCGGCCTTTTTTACGCCATCTCCTTCTTTGTTTCCATTTTCTCTCACAAATCCCCGATGAGATCTGCCATTTTGATGCCCATGCTACATAAATTTGGTATCAAGTCTTCCTTCCTACATTGATACCAGAGATAACCTAGACCTCAACGAAAAACAAATGTTATTACTCGAAATGAATACGCAGTTACATGATTGTAGCGAAAAAGAGAAGGCAACAACTAGCACACAACGCTAACGACTGACGAGGGTTGAATTCGAGGTGGATAGAAGGCTGTTGTAAGTGGCTTTCGCTGGAAATGTGGAGGTGGTTTGGGTGATCTGGTGATGGAGGGCTGGGAGACAAAGAACAACAGAAATGTGGGGCTGCCGATAAAAGGAATAGCGGGTGGAGGGGTAGCGGCAGGGAGATAGTGGACTAGGATGTTTCAACGGCCAGGAAACAGTAGGTTGGAAGGGTTGTTGATGTTTGGCGGCAAGGAAAGTGATACCGGAGCTAGTTGAAATGTGGTGTAATACAAAAAGTAAACCTTTATTAATATAGAAATAGTGGTACAACACGACTCAACAAAAGTAAAATGCAATAATAGACAATACCCTAGCTAAAGCTATAGGAAGAGATTCGAAGGTTGTAGCGGTGTCGGTGGGGTGAGCAACGTCGACGGGGTGAGCGGCCATTGGGTAGGTAGGTAATTGTGTGGTTGGTTGTAGGTGGACTGGATGACGAGATTGTGGAGGAAGTAGGGAAGACAGTAGAGTGGTGGAGGAATGTGGGAATGGTTGGTGACTAGTGGAGTGGATGAGGAACGTGGGGGTGGTAGGTGGCTAGTGGAGTGGTATGGAGAAAGAATGTGTGAGTAATAGCGAAGGAGATTGAAGTTTACGACACTACTTTGGAGCAGGATATAACCGAAACACCACTCGTTGTAGGTTACAACCCTAACAAGAGGTAAGAGACTCCACGTAGAAGATTAGAAGACAACTTTAGTAGAACTGCCTCCCACACACTCAGGGGACAACTATTTGTAGCCTCTTACTCCTACACAGAAGGAAAGAGTTGGAAAAGTGAAGAATCCAGAGAAAAGAAACACTCAGAAGACGTTGCAGAAAGTTTGCGAGATAGTCATCTGGATCGCGAAGCATCTTTCCCTCTCGCCATTGTGCATGACCGTGAAAGATTGCGGGACTAGTCCTGTGGGATCGCGACTCGCTATCCTTTGCGAAAGATTGCGGCTCTCGCAAAGTTCTGCGGGGTTCTGGCCCCCGCGGGATCTCCTCGCTTTGGGGTGTAAATAGCTCCCGCGTCAGGAAGCAGGTAAAGGGGGTGGCTAGTGGCACTGGACAGTGGAGGGAGGGCTGTTAGGGGATGGTGGCCACCAGAGGGATTGCTGAAATTGTTGCAGAAGGGATGTGTAAGGGTAAATATTCCTGCGGGATCGTGCTAAAGAGGGAGCACCACTAAGCCCTTGGAGAAGATCGCAACCTTGGACGAGTTATATCCGTAACACTTTCTCACCTTCATATACAACCCTAAGAGGGACAAATAGCTGCTGACGACAAGCTAGATAGAAATCTGAAGTTCAAAAAAAAAAAAAAAAATCAAAAGGTAATCTTAAGCAAGCACACAACAGATTTAAATAATAATAAAGTAGGAAGGGGAGGTCGCTTCCGTTTGGGCGATAAGGCAAGCCTCTTTGGGCGGCAAGCAGAATAGGAAAGGGAGGCCCATCTCCTTTGGCCGACAAGGCAAGCTTGGAGCAATCGGTTGGCCCTAGTTTCTCGGATTGAACCAGTATGTTTAGCCCTTCCACAACATTTAGGCCTGTGATATGTAAGCTATGCTTCAGACTCCCGGCATTGGGGGAGCCTTTGCTTCATTCGTTGAAGCATCCGATTCTTCGTCTGCAATCCTAGCGACACCTGGATCCCACTGCCGACTGTATTGCTTCCCAAAGCATATGAGGATTTTTCTCCACTTGCAAGCATACATGTATATCGATCCGCTCTCTTAGGGGTCCACTACCGAATTGAACTGAACTGAGTCTACTTGTCTTGCTTATGCTGCCGAATACTCCCAAAGTAATCCATGACCAGCTCTACCTGATACGAAGTGAGAGTAGTTTGAACCTCCCCGTTAGTGGCCCTGGTGGTAAGGTATCGATCGTGATATCCTAAAATGCTCTATGTTGTGTCTGTCCCATGTCTGAACTTGGTGTCTCAAACCTATCATCATTTGTTTTCATCAAAACTGGTCCCACTGATGTTGTTCTGCTAGCACATGCAATCTTGGGCTCTGTCGAAGGAAAGGATGATGCACTTCCTATCCTTAGTGAAGCAGTAGGTGTTTCTAAATCTGTCGTGTTGAGTTCTATGATTAAACTTCCACTGCCTCCCAAACAACAGATGACAGACATTCATGGGTATCACGTCACACCAAACTTGATCTTGCATTTGACTCCGGATTGAGAACTTGACTAGACACCTCTGGTCAATGCTTGCCTTGTTCTTCTTTAGCCACGTTGGAAAATATGTTTGAGAATGTCTTTAAGTCATGAGGCCCAACTTCTTCACCATATGCGTAGAGGTCATGTTCTTACTGCTCCCTCCATCGATGATGAGAGTACATATCTTTCCTATCATAGTGTAGCTGGTGTATCTTGTTGTGGTGAATTAGGGAGCAGTTGTGTTTTTTACTAGATAGGGCACCGTGGAGGAGATTAACGACGAGGAGACATCTGAGGAACAGGGTGAGGTGTATCATCTTACACCGGATAGAGAGGTGCTCAAATCCGTGGCATTTAAAGCATTTTCTGGCGGGGATTGTAGTAGATGTGCTACTATTCTTGAGCTTCTTTTCATTCAGGCCCCCTAGAAAATGTGCTATGGTGTGTTCCTATGACTCTATCAAATCATATTTCATCTGCAACTTGTCAAACTGCTGCGAACTCCTCTACTAATAGGTCTCTTTGTTGCAGATGGTGGAGTCTGAGAAACATATCCAGTATTTGTCTCATCTCTTCTTCTGTTCCACTATAAGAAGCCACTCTTTCTCAATTTGATAGCTACAAGCTTCACCCTTTTATCTTCTGACACTTTTCACTTAAAGATCCGCTCAACCCATTGTAAACATTCGATAAAGCCTTTTAGATTCATTCCTCCATCGAACTGTGGTAGATCTACCTTTATTCCAAAATTTCCGTGTTCTCCATAGGTGGTCTCTTCTCTCGGCCTCCTCTAATACTAGATTCTAAAGCATCATGGTCCTTATTTTTATCATTGAAATTATCTCTATGGAAGGAGTTGAAGTTCTCTTCTCTCTTGCCCACTATTGAGGGTAAGTTTTCCCTGAATCTCATCCTCAATGTCTGCAAGCCTTCGCTTAAGTTGACCAATCTCTTTCCGGGTAGACAAGAGCATCTTCTTGGTGGCATGACTAAGATTTAAAGTTGGGAGGTGAAAGAGGGTTTAAAAATTCATTTAGGGTTGCTGATTTTCAAAATCAGCAAGGGGAAATTAGGTTTAGGTCAAAGTTTGACTATGGTTTGGGAATATGAAAGAAAATTTTTGGTGGCGGATGCTAGAAAACTCTAGGATAGGATAGGGATAGACTAGCTCTGATACCAAATGTTGTTGTTGTTAACCCAATCCACAATGGGAAAAAATTTTATTACTTGAAATGAATACATAGTTACACGCTTGCAACGAAAAAGGAAAGGCTACAACTAGCACACAATGCTAACATGCAACGGGGGTTGGATTTGAGGTGGATGGAAGGCTGCAGTAAGGCGCTATGGCTGGAAAAGTGGAGGTGATTGGGGCAATTTGGTGACAAAGTACACCAGATGGAAGGCTGGGAGATGCAGGAAAACATATATGGGGGGTTGCCGATGAGGTATAGTAGGTTGGAGGCGTGGCAGCAGGGAAATAGTGAATTAGAAGGGTTCAACTGCCAGGAAACATGTTGGAAAGGTCGGCGACAAGGGAACAACAGGTGTTGAGGTTTGGTAGCAAGGGAAGAAGGTAGAGGGGTTGTTGGTGGCATTGTACAATAGAGGGAGAATTGTCACGGTATGGTGGCTGCGAGTGGAATTGATGAATAGGTTGCAGAATGTTTGGGTAAATATAAATATTTCTGGGAGATCGAGTCACAGTCGGAGCACTCGAACCCTTATATAAGATCACTCTCTTGGACAAGTTACAGCCGGAGCACATTTTCACCTTCGAATACAACCCTTGAAGAGGGAAACCGCCGAATGCAAGATGGACAAAAATCTAATATAAAAAAAACAAAAATCTAATTCTATAAAAGCACACAACAAATATCTAATAGATGATAGAGTAGGAAACGGAGGCCCCTCCTCTTCTGGCGTCAAGGCAGACCCTTTAGGCGACAAGCATAATAGGAAAGGATAACCCTCTGCTTTAGGTGGCAAGGCAATCCTGTACTGGTCGGCTGACCCTAGTTACTCTGTTTGAGCCGATCGATTTACCGCTGGTAGGTCTACATCAGACATGCCCTGCATCATAGATTGTATGAAGAATTGATTGCATGAACTCTTACCTTATGATGTTTTTTCTTATAAAGCTCTCTGTCTATTTTTTTTCCCCTACTACTAATCGCGTGCCTACAGTTGCTCATTCTCTTTTTTGGATTATTATCCCTCCTCCCAATTTGTTCGTATTCCTTTTCCTTTTTGTTTGAAAAAAAATTAGAAGAAATACTATTGTGTATTTTCCTCTTTCTATGTGCATCTTGACCACTCCATCTTTTTTTTGCAATGTGCTCCATGCACACTATTATTTCTTTCTTTGTTTTCCAAATAATTGCTTAACAACCTATATGATGCTGGGCTCTCTAATGGTTGAACTGGATTGGCCACTTGGATTGGTTCAACCAAGGGGTTACATGAGTCGGTTGACTCTTATTTTGGGGGCTAGGGTTCCCACCCAAGCGGTGCGGGCTTCCCCTCATAGTTATCTATTATATATATTTATTTTTTTCTGTTTTAGGGCTAGTTTTTTGCTTCGAGATTTTTGTCTAGACATCCTCTGACATTTCTTTTCCCTTTCTAGAGCTATATTTGACGATGAGAATGTGCTCCGCCTGTAATTCGACAAGAGGCGTGTATCTTCCCTTTTCCTGTTTGTTTACCTCTTCTTGATGTAGCCTAAGCGCATCAACATCTACTTTGTTTGCAGCCACCTCCCTATTAGCCTGCCTCTTACTGCTACAAGTCTCCGTGACCTGCTCCCCAGTCAAACCCCTCCTCTATTTTATGCCGACCTTCCCCACAACTTCTCATTCTCCTCGATGCTTCCCCAAACTAGATGCCGCCATCTCTCCTAGCCGCTCCTGGTAGCCTGATCCCCTTGCCTGCTATCTCTATTATACCCGTGTGTCCTTCCCCATCTCCTGTGTCAACCCAACTTGCAGAGTCTCATCCATTTGTTGCTACCCATCCCAACTCTCTTAGGATTATTCCCCGGGGCTGTCCCACCTTGCCCTAGTCGATTGTTAGTGTTTGCTGTGTTTTCTGTTATGTTTTGGGTTTTTATTATAACCCCATTGTTGTTTGAGTAATAACATTTTTCATTTCCATCAAAATTCGGGTTAACTCCAATATCTCTATAACACACCTCCATGAAGCACATATACGGATACAGGGACACAGACATGACACGATATGAAATGACGACCTGACATAATTACAAAAAATCAGACACGATGCCCAATGGAATATTTTTTATTTAATAAATTATTAATAAAATATATATTTTTAATATTTTCTACTAAAGACATCACAAACAAATTATGAAAATATTATAGATACTTTATAATGATAAATGCAAATCATAGGATTTATTAAATCCTATTTGTTTAATCATGGGTGCAGCCAAATACTACATAAAAGTGAAATCCTATAGTAAATAAATGAATCCTTCCAAATTAAAAAAACAAACCTTCATCGTGCTTGGTTTGACAATTAGAGAGGTGGGAATCTGGAAAAGTTGGGCTGGATCACGTCGTCGAAGATGAGATTGCTTCGCTTTGAGTGACTTGACGACCTCACGACTTGCTTCAACCTGCCTAGTTTTGAGCTGCTTTGACATAAGGCGGCTCAACTACCTCACCATGCAACTTCAATGTAGGGCGGCTTGACGTAGGTCTTCAATTGAGACTAAGGATTTTTCGAGAATGTTGGAGAGGTGCCGAGGACTGGTCGAGATTGTCGTGGCTTTAATTTTGAGTTGCCACTTGACTTGCTGCTTAGACCTAATGCTAAGAAAAGCGGATGTTTAAGTTCACGTGTCTTGTTACCTTGCTCGATGCCTTATCAAGCTGTGTCCTCCTCAGCGTCTAGTGCCTGGAAGTCTCCGATACATTTTTACTTTTTAGGTGTGTTGGATATGTATCTACCCGTGTCGAGGATGTGTCTAGGACCAAACTCCACTTCCTGTCCTACATGGTACGACACCTTTTTTAACCAAACTCCACTTCCTGTCCTACATTGTACGACATCTTTTTTAACCAAACTCCACTTCATGTCCTAAACATTCTATAAGAAGCGTCTTCAAATTTATACTTAAATAATCCCGAAACTTCATCTATACAATTTTGGTTCATTCTTTCTATACTTTACATTTTATTCATGGCCTTTTTTTGCACTTATCAATTGAAACAATCTCATTGTAAATATTAGATTCCTCTCTTCATTTAGAAAATAATTAACTTCTGAATTCCACGTAAAAGTAGTTCAATCTCACCATGTTATTTACCTTTTATTGCTTTAATCAAACTTGCCCAATGATATCAACCTGTGTAATCCAACTCAAGCTAATCATGTGACAGGGGCACACAAATAACGCCATAGGCGCACCAATAACACCGCGGGTGTGGCGTAGAGGGAGTCGCGAGCTTTTCCCGCAATGTCCTTCGTATGGACTAAACCGGCCTAGACCCGAGAGGGCTAGTCAGCTGTTCCATGAGGGATTGATGCTTCCTTACCATGGGATGGGGGGTCTAATCCTAATTATCCAGGGCTTATATATGTGATTCCTTTTTTTAACGTTTTTAGTTTTTGGCGTGCGTTTGTTCAGGACAGTCGATGACATCTATTTCTCTCTGCGAGGGCTGTATCGAAGGGATTGGGTGGTGCTTCGACTGTATCTCTCTCTCTCTCTCTCTCGATGGTGATTATGTTTCCTATCTCCTTCCACTTCCTCCCCGTGTTGCTCCCGATCGCCGTATCTGACTACAACCGCTCACAATAGCATTCCAATTGCTGTTTTTGGCAGTACTAGTAGCCGCCATTGCCTTCCCCTCCCTTCTTTGCACAGACATTGCAGTTCCAGCTCTCCACCTTCCCGCCATTGTTCCCTCCCCAACCTCACTGTATCGACCGCTGTCCAGCCATCTGTATCGCTGCTATCATCCGGAAAACAACGCATTTGCAGTTTTCTTGCTGTTCCCTGGCCGTTCCAGCCTTTTCCAATGCACTTGCCACCCTCACTGTCCCAGCCATCCGCTTCGCTGCCAACGCCATTCCAACCCCTCCTTTTGCTGTTCCAACCACCTACAACCCATTTCATCCATCTGTGCTCCCCAACCACCTAACGGACCACCACCCATGGATCGAGCCCTAGTTTGAGTTTGTGTCGTGTTTGTTGTTATTTGTATTTCAAGTGTGTTTATAACCACTCTTTTATTTTCAGTAATAATTATTGATTTTCTTACTGTTATTTGGGTTAATTCTAGTATCACCATAAGTTCAAATGAGTAAAAAAGTTCTTTATTGTTTTATTGCAAAACATGAAGTTTAATTTCTATCAATATATTACTATAAAGAAGATTTTTGACCTCTAAAGACTCAATTCCAGTGCTGATTGCTAGTGCTCAAGAGGATCTATACTCTACTGTAATAGGGGTTAGTCGACAATATTGTTGTAGATGAAGTAGCTCTTACTCTTGGCTTCTTTTCCTGGTTTTACATTTGGTTGGATTACTAATTTCTCTTCTTTTATGATAACTTCTCACTAGATGTTATTCCCGTTATTCTCTTCTTTTATACTTGGGATAAAAAATATATGGGATTGGGTCTGTCGGCTTGACAATACATCAGAACTATTTTTTATTTTCAACCTATCAAACCTTCGCTGTAGCTACCCACAGTATTTCATGGTGCATATACTATTTATTCTTTGATATCTCTCATATTGTCATTATCTCCGTGTTTGTGCTTTATACGAGTCATTTTGTCCTTGATTATTGTTTTTGGTTGTTTGGGAATATTGAATCATATGCCTATTAGGGCTATGCTCATTATTCCTCCTTTATTAATGTTAATTTTTTGAAACAAGGCTAAATGTTATAAATCGTACTTAGCATCATATTATTCATATAGTGATGGAAGAGATATGTTTGGTTCCGTTCAGTGAGATTTCAGCTCCTGTGGATGCTTTAGAATTTCAACATCAAACAATTTGAAAAATCACTAGGTTCAAAACTCCATTGCGTTCTCGTTTCCTTCTCCTCTCTCAACTTGCATATTAAATGCACCGCTCCACTGCGTCTACTTCTACACTTTGGGTGTATGTTTTCATCATGAATTTATGGAATGAGGATCTTGTTTAGTATTGGCTTTTACATGCATACCACCCAATTCCTATGTATTTACATATCTAATACCTTAAGTTTGCTTTTATGTTTATACCACCAAAATATTCATGTCACATAAAAATACCACCATTTTAACTCAATAAAAAGTAATATGTACCTTTTCATGCATAAGTAAGGTGGTATGCATGTTAATATTGCAGTTTAGGTGTTAGATATGTAAATACATAGGAATTTAGTAATTTGTATGTAAATCTTTGTTATTTTTAATTTGTACTATATATATCTCTCATTTTTTTATTATAGTTTTCCTTTGCTTTAGTGCTGTGACCATCCTTACCTAGTTGATGGAGACCTACGGGGTTTACTAACCAAAGGTCTTCAAGGTACTGAATTTCTCAATGCTGAAGTGTGTGCCAGTGGTAAACTGCATCTGCTAGGCAAGATTCTTCAGGACATGAAGGATCGTGGATTAAGGGTCGTGATTCTATTTCAGGTATGTAATTTTCCTTTTCTCATTTTCTGAGCCCTCTCTTTGTCTGTGTGTATGTGTGTGTGTGTTCTGTGCTATTGCACAATTTGTTCTTGAAGGTTTTTTGGCTATCAATCGACTGATCTTAAAGGTTGAAACTTGTGCATGGTGGTACTTTTAATTGTTTTCTATCAGTTTGGTCCAAATAGATGGGAAGTGTAAATCTAATTTTACATGCTGAAAACGCTTAGGCGATGTCACCATGAAAGGCTTAGGTCAGAAGCTGTTTCCTAAAACTTCAGTATATGAAGACGAAGGATTTCACTAAAGTGCTAGAATCAAAATGTCTTATAGCTGGAGGCGAGGGTTGAAACCATAGCTTTTATTTATTTTTGTTTGTAGTGACGCTAAATTGTAGAAAATGTAAGAAATGAAGTCTCATTGAGAATGTTTTTATGTAACCTGATACTTTAACATCTTATAGCATATTAACAACTACATCATATTAACAATAGATATTGAAGTTAAATGTAGTAAAATGGTTTGACTTGCATGTAAACTATTTTATATATGTGATTAAACATATGAACAATGGTAAATCTTAGCCCACAACTTAATTGTGCAGATTTTACTTTTGTTTAAAAATGAATGACAAATTTATGATGTGTACAAATGCCTAATGAATGTGATATATAGTATGACAACAATTTATCCTATCGATAATATATATATGGAAAGGTATTTGCGTTGCATCTTCCTTTTCATCTTGAACCAAGAAGTGTTTTTATTTTTTCCCTCACATTTGTATCGTTGCTTCAAAATTTTCCATCACAGAGACAAAGCCTTCTTTAACTTAATAACACACCTAATTTTATTCTTCCAGTAGATGGAACATCCTTGCATTCAATGATCCATTTTATTATTTGGAGCCATTCAATGAACTTATCTGGATCCATGCAACCATCAAAATCCGACAAGTCAATCTCCATTCTAAAATTGTAGTTTCTCTATTGTTTAATATCAAATTACAGGGTATTGGTTTATCATCACTGGAAACTTTTTGGTGGAAGGGCTTCACTTGCTCTTGATCTAATAAGTCACCGTTGTGGATATTAATGACCACTCCGGGTTGTCTTCTTACAAGGGCGGCATTTCTTTTTTGTAGTTGGAGGATTTCCCTTTGCATGGCTTCCATCGTAGGCTCTTGGACACATTTTTGTATGCTTTTCTTAGGAGGCATTGCATTCTTTTCTTCCTATCACAATTTTTGAGTGTAGGGTTGTAGATTAACGATTGGCCGAGAACTTAGGGTCTTGGTGATAGGTGTTGGAGTGGATTTTTGGTGAGGTAGAAATGTAAGTTTTTGAAAATTTAAGGCTAGGTCTAGGAATTGCGATAAGAATGGTTTGGGTATTGAGTTGGTCAAAGGTTTAAGCTCTGTGGATTTTAGTTATATAGGCATAGGAATAAATGTTCAGGGTATTGAATTGGCCGAAAGTTTAAGTTATATGGATTTTAGGTTTAGGCGTAGGAATGACAAATCACTAAAAATTTAGGATTTGCCTGACTCTGATATTAAATGACATCAATTTAGGGCTCCTAGAAGATATGTGAGAACATAGAAATGGGTAGGTAAGTTATAAGATGGGTGACTGGGTTGGGCGGAATGATTCGGCTAAAATCCGGTGTGCATGGTGGCTGGATAGCGAGTCGGCAGTGGAACAACAACAGATAGCAGCGAGTTCGGAGAGGGTGGAATCCTTCGGACTTTCAATGGAGATCATCACCTCAATCCAATCAGGTTACATGCACAACATCTGTGAGAAATCCAATGATACAATACTCCAATAAAGAAAAGAAGTAGAAAATGTCTCCAATAACTTAAAACTAAGAAAAAGTTTTCAAAATAGACAAATAACAACAAATAAATAGCTTCCAAGCAAATTAACCCTAATAAAAATCTAATAAAAGCAAGTAAGACCATTGAAGGAGGTTGGGCCAGCTCTTGGGGTCTGGAAAAGGCTAACTGGTCCAGGACCGATTTCCCTATTCGGAAGGTGGATGCAGATCATCTCCCACAACTGATGCCTATATCAAAAAAATGTTATACTTTTTTATCTCATTTTTTCAATAACTTCGATAAATGTTAGATTGTGTAGTCACCTTTATTCAGACAGCCCGTTTGGTTCCTTATTATTCATCAGTACAAGTATTTCCTTTTTTTTTTAATTTTTTGTTTAGGAGTAAATAATTGCGTACATCAGCAAGTAAATGATTTGTGTTGGATTGCTTTTAGATATTCGTTGCTTCAGTGCATGCCAATTCATGCATGTGTTTATGCAATATAATGAACATAAAAGAAATAAAAAAAATATTTTTTGTTGCATCCTTGTTGAATATCCGCCTACACCTTAAATATCAACCCTACCTCACATTTTAGAATGTGGTGCTATCAAAAGCAACACGAAGGAAGTTGTCATGGCAATTGTATGAGTAAGCTTCTTTATTTTCTTGTTGTAAAACTAATTTTTCTTTTTCCCTTGCATCGTTATTCACCGTTTAAATTTTTTTAACTGTTTTGTTGGCATCCTTCTTGCCGCCACTTTTTCTTGAGCTCGTTATAACTTTCAACCTTTTTCTGCTGAAAGAGTCTAGGTGGACCTGAAAAAGTTTTGCTTGGTGATGTGTTGGATGATTTTCTTGCGCAAAGATTCGGTGTCGACACGTATGAGCGCATTGAGACTGGCATTGTCACGACAAAGAAGGTTGCCGCACTTAAGAAGTTCAATGATAAGGAAACGGGAAAATTTGTATTTCTTATTGAAAAACGTGCTTGTCTGCCAAGTGTTAAGCTCCATTCTGTTGATGCCATTATCTTATTTAATAGTGATTGGAATCCATTGAATGACCTAAGATCTCTACAGAAAATAAATATAGAATCTCAATATCAGTGCACTAGGGTTTTTCGTTTTTATACATCTTATACGGTAGAAGAAAAACTTCTGATGCTTGCAAAAGAAGCTATCATTCTTGAGAGCTGTGTTGAGAATATAAATCGTAATATTATCCATTCGTTGCTTGGTTGGGGCACCTCCTACCTGTTTCAGAAGCTTGATCATTTGCATTTGAGTGCGAAACCAGCTTCTATCTCTGAACCTTCATTTGACAAATTATGTTTGAATGATGTGATTATGGAAATTTTAACACAGTTTCCTGGAAAAATTGAAACAAGCAGAGCTGTCCCTTGCTCTATTCTCACTAGGGCTCAACTGTGTGGTGGAACGTACTCGAGAAATATTGTCTTGACTGGTGAAAAGGAAGGCATCTCCTTACCGGATAAAGATCTGTCCAGTTTCTGGTCAGGGTTATTGGAGGGTAGGCGTCCTAAATGGATGTATATATTTGAGCATTCACAAAGGGTTCGCCGAAGGATTCAGAATTCAAATGGATTGGCAATTCAAGCTGTAGAGGGTGATAAAGTTAAGAGCAAGCGTCGAAAAGTTGACAATAATGTAGACCCAGTCAAGTTGCATGAAATCAACGAAGAAAAGGGGGATGGGCCTGAAGGTATGATTGTTATTGTTTGATTAATCCTCCACTAGCATTTTAATAACCAAGAAATGTTGACCTCATTGTATGTACTAGTGATCTGAATGTTTACAATATGCAATTATCTTATCAATTTTAATTTTTTCAAAATTTAAAAACCTACTGTCTAAATTCGTCTTAATTCTGGACATGGATTTTGAAAAATATATGCACGTTCATGTTGATTTCATTTGACCTTGGGAAAATTTGGAATGGTACTTAGCTTGTAATTTGGAAGTTGTTTTCTGTATTTATATTTTTTGTTTAAATTCCACCTCCACCTGCATCAAAAACCTCCTAACCTTAAAAAAAAAAGAAACCTTATCCCACCCCCTCCTAGTACTTACACATCTTGAACGCTAGTCTTCTGATTAAAAAACTATTATTTTATTCTGTGTTGCTAGAAAAAATATTATTCACACGTGTTTGACAATATTTTTCAGAGAACCATAAGTCTTGCATGCTTGAATCCGAAGATGGAAAACAACAGCTTGAAGACCAGAGGAATCTTCTTATGTTGCTTAGGCCAGAATTGTCAGAATTATGTGACATTCTTGGACAGCCGGTATGCATTTAATATCTTTGTCTTTAAGAGATCATGTCACAATGTGAAACACTCCTTTTTGCTTTCGAATGGAAAGCATGAGTTGTTAATTTGTTTCATTGAAGCATTTATCTTTTGTATCAACTTTTCTAGGAATTATATGGCATTGATTGCAATACTTTTTTGAATAAAATGCACTCTATTGTATGAAAACTTGATCTCTTAAGTAGCAAACTCCTTATAAACTAAATCAATTGGAAGTCACAAAGAAACAATCTGTTAGAAACACCCAAATTTAATAAATCTATTTATTCTTTTTAGCTGCAGAAGCATGTGAGTTTAAAATTTAATTGCCAGCATCAATTTAAGCAGATTAGGAAGGAATACATTCTGCTTGCACTGGCAGCACAATGAGAAAAAAGAGTTGGTGGATTGGAAAAGAAATAAAACAAACTATTTAGAACAGCATTCTATTTTTGAATAACTTGTTACAATTTACTTAACCACACTCTGAAAATGTCAGAGAGGAAAGCATTGGAAAGAAGTTTTAATTGATAATAGCTTGGGAACATAGAATGTAACACTCAATTTTGAAAAATCAAGTAAAATTTTGACAATTCTAAAGCTTACCAAAATTTCGCATCCCTCAGAGTTCGATCATAACAATTTTATTAAATTTCACACGTTGAATCGATCAATTTGATTTATAGCATGATGTATCAATTTTAGAGGTATGAGAAAATGTAAAATTATAAAGTTGTAGTATAATTAAACTTAAACCCTTAATTAATTCCTAATTCCGCATCTTTATTGTTCCCAACTGTCTTTCTTCGCACTTAGCTGTGTATGCGTCAGTTTGATGGAACGATCGAGTGTTAACTGAAATCACGTTAAATTCCATAGTCCCTTTCATTTCTCCCCTCCCTGTTCTTAGTTCCGCTCTGCAAAAACATTTCTTCTATCCGACACTGTAGCAGGTTCGAATTGGGCAAACCTTAGAGAGTCGTAAGTGGTATTTCGTTTCATTTCTCCCCTCCCTGTTCTTAGTTCCGCTCTACAAAAACATTTCTTCTATCCGACACTGTAGCAGGTGCGAACTGGGCAAACCTTAGAGAGTCGTAAGTGGTATTTCGGGGTTCTTATGAGAGATAGAAAAGTCTTTCAAATTAATCAATTCCACACTTCGAATCGATCAACTTTGATATATAACACTATGCATGAATTTTATACATTTGAAATAGTATAAAATTATAAAGTCATAGTTTAATTAAGCTTAAATTGACTCTTAATTAATCCTTAATCCAACATCTTTATTGTTCCCAACTGACTTTCTTTGCACTTAAATGCCACAATCCCTTATTCTTAGTTTCGCTCGGCTGAAGCATTTCTGCGATCCAACTCTGTAACAGGCGCGAACTAGGCGAACAACAGAGAGCCGCAGGCGTCATTTTAGGGTACCAGTGAGACCGAAATGTAGGAAACTTTTTTTCATGATATTTGTGACTCTCCTTCCTTACGCTTTCATTTTGACATTTATGGTTAATCAACGCACTTTTCGTTCCCTTTCAATGTAGTGAGAGGCGGTGTGAGAGAATCATCTATATCTTTATGAAGAATAATAATTAAGCGGAATATCAAAATTATTAAATAGTCCCGAATGTTTAGAATATTCTTGTTGATTGTGCGTCCTCAAGTTATGTCTTTGCTCCATTCCATTCTTTAAATTTTAAGGCGGTCCTTTGAGAGTGATAAATGTTGATTCATGGATAATCATTATTGTCTAGATGAAGTGAATGTTTATAATTCCTTAGCTATAGAAAATGCATTTTCCAGCCTCACTTTATGTCCACCTACAAATTTGTTGGATGTTTTGTTGACGAGGATGTCCGAGGAAAACTCCCGTATTCCGCATCATAGGAAAAACAACTCGACTGGTTCAGTTAGGGGCCGGTTCATGATTTAAGCCACTATGTGGTGGGCTAGTTTTTTTAGGAGTCCAAATTATTTATTAGACTACTAATTAGATTTTCTTTTTTTGGAGAAATTTAATGTGTTTTTCGTTTTCGGTTGGACACCTTTGGCTGTTGGTTAATGCAATAAAGTTGTTTTCTCTAGTTTATTTTTTTCAAGGTGTGGTATCATTAAATCCTTATATGGTGTTGTGCCTGTAGTCTGATTGGATAGATGTGATGATCTCTCTCGGACATCCGACGACATTTTAAAATGTAAATATGTAATATGTGAGATATTCATTGTTTTGTGGCAAGGTACGAAATATGTTGTTTTGGAGAAGCGATTTATCAATAATGTAGCTCGAGTGCTTATTCCATTTTATTTGGGTCAAATTTACCACAAAGTCTGCTCACAAGGTGATTATAAAATTGAAATGAGACTCTATAAACCTATATTTTGTCCTCGCATCTTAGCCAAATGACATACTATTTATTGAGTGATATGTCTCTCCATATCTTGTACTATAAAAATTTTTCTCCAAAAGTGAGTTTTATCCTTGCTAAATTGTATTGTCATCCCTCTATTGTGGCACTCTTACAATGTGCTTAATTTGAGTGAATTCTTAGAAATGTTTAGTCTTTTTGATGAAATAAATAACCAGCTGATATGCAAAAAATATTTATCTCTTGAAATATGGGCGACATACAAGTTTGATACTTCAAACCAACTACCTTCAATTGCATGATGTTGATTAGTAAGTGATGATGGTTGAATGCATCGGCTATTTTGTTCTGACTCCTGACTTTTTGTTTGAGCACGAAATGAATTGGAGAGAAAAATTCACCCATGAGGTTTGTCTACCTTTTAGCTTGCTTTGGCAATTCATTAAGCTGATGAATATAAAGAGTGAGCTTACGCACTAGCAAATAATAACTCCAGTGATGGAGGGCTCTTTCAATAATGTAAAACTCAATGTCGTAAGTAGAGTACTTCCTACTGGACTCATTCAACTTTTCGCTAAGATGGCAATAAGGTATATGCCTTGACTCAACAAAACTCCAATTTCATTGTCACACTCAACCGAGAACACTTGATTAAAATTTGAAAGTGATAGAGCAATGGTTTGTCTATCTTGCGAAGCTCTATGAAGGGTGTGTTACAACAGAGTTGAAATTTTTGATAAATTTCTTATAACATGAAGTCAATCCATAAACTTGACATACCTAGGTGAATGACTACAGATCGGTCTAGTTCATAATAGACTAGATTTTAGTGTATTTTATCTTGAAGCGGGTGATTGATATAATGTATCCAAGGAAGTACGTTTGTGGCATCAGAAAATGACAATACTTATAGTGGTCATACATTTGTTTTGTCGCAAAATTCTAAACACCCGTTGCAAATGCTGCAAATGCTCATCCTCTGAACTGTTATACACCATAATATCATCAAAATACACGATCATCAAAATTCACGACCATGAATCTCTCGATATGGCTTTAAAATCTGGTGTATTTACCTAATAAAATTTATTGATGTATTTGACAACCAAAAAGCTTGACTGTCTGCTCATACAATCTAACTTGCATTCTACATGTGGTCTTCCACCTGTTCTTGAGCCTCATCTAAATTGTGTGGTATCTGCCACACTCCTATCTTTTAAAATATGCTAGTTTCATGTAGTTGTTCCACCAAGTCATTCAATTTTAGAATGAGAAACTAGTACTTGATGTTGATTTTTTTCACTGCCTAGGTATTAATGCACATATGCCACAATTTTCTCTTTTTGGGTAAAATCAATGCTGGTACTGCACACAGATTAATACTCTCATGATTGACGTCGTAATTCAGTAAATTTTTTTGGCGAAAATTAGAATTTCATTATTCAAACAATGAGGTTACAATCAAGACTCAAAATTGAACAAGAAAACATGACGAACACTAATACCTTGCTAGGGCCTAGTAGGTGTAACCGTGGACAATGGCTAGGAGTAGTTGCGGTGCAGCCGGATGGGCTCAGAGAAAGTGCGGTTCAACAGGTTTGCAAGGAGGGGCGAAGATTTCGTTGTTGGAAATAGGAAAAGAGGGTGTGGGTTGGCTGAGACATGGCAGTAGGGGGAAGAAGTGGAGCCCGATTGTCGGTTGGAAAGCAAAGAGGAAAGAG